AAGGGGTATCCAAGAAGGCATCGGGACGGCCCCAGGCGGCCCGAAGACGACCCAAAAGGCGCCCAAGACGGCCCAAGAGGGCCCGAGGCAGCCCCAAAAGGAGCCTATGAGAGGATAATCCAAGCCCTGCGCCCCAAGAGGCCCCCAGGTGGCCCCAAGAGGCGCCAAGGAGGCCCCAAGAGGCCCCCAAAAGGCCCCCAAGAGGCCCCAAGAGCCCCAAAGAGGCCCCAAAGAGGAGCCAGGAGGCCCCAAAACGGCACCCAAGAGGCCTCCAAACTCCCTCCAAGAGGCCCCCGATGGGCCCCCCACAAGATCCCAACGAACATCAAAATGGCTTCATACCCACAACCCAGGCACGGTGGCAGGATGGGCCGAATGACATTAAATCCGCCGCCCCCTATCGATTCATCGCAGGGGCGCCTGGCGTGCCAGACCCTTTCGGTTTTGGTGTTGGTTCTTCTCCAAAAGAACTCCCCCTGGGGCGTCGGCCCGCCCCGCCGGGGTCCCGGGAAGGATCTCAAAACGCATCCGTCGATGAGGGGCCAAGAGGGCCCAAGAGGGCCTCCAAGACGGCCAAGATGGCCCAGGATGGCCTCCAAGTTCGCCCAAGATGGTCCAAGATGGCCTCCAAGACGGCCCAAGAGGGTTCAAGATGCCTTCTATATCGTCCAAGAGACCTCAAAACGGGCCAAGATGTCTCCAAGATGGCCTCAAGATGGCCCAAGAGGGTGCCAAGAGGACCCCCAGGAGAGCCCGAAGAGGCCAAAATCATTGATCGTCCATTGGTTTAAAATGATTTTGATATATGCTTCATTTAAGCCTTCCCGCTGTCCAAGACGGCCCAAGAGGCCCCCAAGATTGCCCCCAGAGCACCCACGAGGCCTCCACGATGGCTCCATGATGGCCCAAGAGGCCCCCAAGACGGCCTAAGAGGGCCCCAAGACGGGCCAAGAGGCCTCCAAGACGCCCAAGATGGCCTCTAAGGCGGCCCCGAAGCGCCCCAAGAGGGCCCCAAGCTGGTTCAGAGAGGCCCCCAAGACGGCTCCCGACGGCGTCAGACGGGCCAGGAACCCACCAAGATGGCCGAAGTTGGCTCGAAGCTGGCCCAAGACGGCCCAAGAGGCCTCCAAGAGGGCCTCCAGAATGGCCAGAAAAGATTTAAAAAACAGTGATTGTCCTAAGGTTGCTGAAGGATTCTGACATGTGCTTCTTTTCGGCCTGCGACGGCCCGAGACGGCCCAAGAGCCCCCAAAGATCGCCCAAAGATCGCCCAAGAGGCCTCCAGGATGGCCCCAGAACGGGCCAAGAAGCCTCCAAGACGGCCCCAAGAGGCCCCCAAGACGGCCCAGGAGGCTTCTAAGACGCCCAAGATGGCCTCCAAGGCGGCCCTGGAGCATTCCAAGAGGGCCCCGAGTCGGCCCAGAGAGGCCCCCCAAACGGCTTCCGACGGCGTCGGACGGGCCAGGAGCCCACCAAGACGGCCGAAGATGGCCCTAAGATAGCCCAAGAGGGCATCTAGGAAGGCCCGCAAAGGCCCAAATCATCGATTTCCCATGAGTTGTTGAAGGATTGTGGCAATTGTTTTTGTTTCGGCCTTCCGACGGCCCGAGACGGCCCAAGTGCCCCCAAAGATCGCCCAAGAAGCCCAAGACGGCCCCAAGAGGCCCCAAGACGGCCCAAGAGGCCCCCAAGACGCTCAAGATGGCTTCCAAGACGGCCCAAGAGTTCTCCAAGAAGGCCCGAAAGGGTCAAAATGGCCTCCAGACGGCCAAGATGACCTTCAAGATGCCCACGTGTTCCCCGAAGGCTTTCCAAACCGACTCGGGGAACACATGGTCCGATAGCTTGGCAGGTCTGGCTTCAACGTTCGGCCACATCGGCGCTTCCAAAAAGGCAGGGGGCGGCGGTGATTCGCCGTAGGCGTCTTCGATCCGCCGCCCCCTGTCGATTCATCACAGGGGTGGGTGCCTGGCGTGCTGAATCCTCTCGGTTTAGGCTTTGGTTCCTTTTCAAAAAGAACTCCCCATGGGCCTCCGGCGCGTCCAGCCGGGGTCCCGGGAGGATTGCTACGGAGCTCAATTTCCAAAGTTTCCTCCATGACGGCTGAAGATGGCCTCCAAGATGGCCACGTTGGCCCAAGGCCTCCAAGGTGGTCCAAGATGGCCTCCAAGTCCGCCCAAGAGTGGAGGAGATGCCTCCATGTGCGCCCAAGAAACCTCCAAGACGGCCCGGGACGGCCCAAGAGGTGCCCAAGAGGCCTCCAAGACGGCCCAAGAGGCCTCCGAGAGGTCCTCGAGGAGGGCCCGAAGAGGCCAAAATCATTGATTTGCCATAGGTTTTTAAAGGTTTTTCGTATGTGCTCCTTTTTGGCTTTCCGACGACCCAAGACGGCCCAAGAGGCCCCCAAGGTCGCTCCCACAGCGCCCAAGAGGCCCCCAAGACGGCCTCAAAAGGGCACAAAGACGACCCAAGAGGCATCCAAGACGCCCAAGATGGCCTC